CGTCGGGCAAATCCTGCCGCCACCCCTAATTTCTTCTAAACATTCATTTTCCTGTTGTAAAATATCACATCCTGGGTGAATACATTTCATATCACAAATTCATTCGCGTTTACGGCGCAAAATTCTAGCGCATGCGAAACTAGGCATAGGCCTACATCATTTTGGGCACGGTGACAGAGGGGATGGCACGGCGGTATGCGCCGCGCGCCTTCCAGTTTATCACAGAACTGCGCTGATCTCAGGGCCCTAATTGGCCAAATAAGAACAGGATTGCCATTTGGCCTCTTTGGCAGCCAGATTCCTAATCTGGCCGTATAAAAATTCGCCTGACCGTAACGTTTGAAAAGTCACGACCAAAGTAGGATATTTGGCCGAATTTGTGAAAAGTTTACATTTTTTTTAAAATATAGGTCTAATATCGTAGACTTGTTTGGACATGTTGTTTTTGTACAAAAGTTAAAATTATATTTGATTGTAATCTTGTACCTTTGCGTGTAATTGAATGTTAATTAAACTGACCTATAGTTGGCTCTACACAATGTGTGTACTGTAATGTAACAGCAAACATTCGAAAATGTGTACCTGTATGTAACCGTGCTGGATTCCCATCTACCTCCTGTAAGCGCATACCTCTTAGCGAGTCGGCCACCAAGAGCAGTTCCGTTTTCATTTGGCATCGTAGGATCTGGAACGCCACATCGGGGCTTCTTCATGGCCTCTAAAGTTTTGGAATCCATCTTACCAGTAACAGTTATATTATAAAATTTCTGGAAATTTGTGACTGCTCTCTCTACTGCTTTACTCGATTTAATTTCTGATGGCCCCATAATATTATTAAAATTTAAATATCCAAAAGATGTTAGAAAAGTCTGAAAATGGTACAAGATTGAAAATCTTAAAATTCAAAAATAACGAATCGTCATTAATCGGGTAACTTTCACATAGACTTACAGGTATAGGCTAATATATAGGCTTGTAAAGGAAAATGTAAATAATGAGATAGTACCGACTTTTCTATAGGCCTAGGTCTACATAAGTTTCGTCCGGTGATCCACTGTAGAGTTTTCACTAGGCTTACAAATTCAAATTATGGCAAACTAAATTTCAATTATGTAATTTGAATGAATGAATGAATGAATTGTAATTATTCTTAAATTGTTCTATTGTACTTTCGAATTATTTTTGGGAAGTTATTGTATATAAAAATTTTGTTTAAAAAGTATGCATTTTCCAATTTATTATTGAACCTTTTTTAAATATTTATTATCTCTTATGTTTGTATCTTGCATCGTATTATTTTAATGTTTGCCTTGGAGATCACTCGATAGTGTTCTATTTGGTAATCCTTAAGGGAATTTTTGTTGTATTTTTTTATCCTGAAATGTTGTAATAAAATAATATTTTTTGTCTGTAAAATACATTCTGTAATCAATAAATAACCCACTTACCATTACCTCCATGGCTTCTTCATCAGTAATTGCAGATGTAACAACGAAAAAAGAACATACGATGCCCAGCAAAACCAAATTTTTGAAAGTCGCCATATTGTTAAAAATAATGTTTGTAAGAAACAATGCTTTAGAAATTAGTAGTGCTTCTTCACTCTCCGTCCAATAGAACTTTTTAATAGAGTTAAGTTTTTGGCCTGTTTTATACCATTTTACGAGAATGACTCAACTTATACTACGACCTATACAGGAAGGATATGCTCCTCCTTCCTACATTACGTACCTACCCAATATGATTCCTAGTGCAACCGCTTACACACA